TTGCATTGAAATGAACTGAAAGTGTTTGTGGCCGGTTTCTTTCTATGGCTTAGAGGAGGGAACAGACAATTCCACCTGATGGGTGATGATTTCTGAACCTGCTCTTATACAGTTGTAACAACAGTGTCTCTTGCTAAGCCCTGGCTGAAGCTGAGCTGCTTTCCTGCTAGGCAGGTAGGCTATGAAGATTGGTAATCAGAAGGAATTGGCAGAATTGGGTCTCAGCCTTACCAAATCACCGCTTCATAGTTCATGCTGTGGAAGAGTTGCTACAATGAACAATTGCACAAGTGAAAAAGCTGTAGGTTTAAAAAAAAAAAAAAAGTAAGTAAATGGACTAAAGCGAAACAAAATCTGCTTTGCAATTTGAGAGATCTACATAAAAAAATTGCAGGCTTAGTCCGAAGCCTTAGAAATTTACATCACTAGCTCATGCCTCTTAGTAGCAGCATTCTGGCATTTGTGTGATAAGGTGAAGGCTGTAGTGTAAAGAATGTAGTTTTATTCATGAGGAACCAGCTTCTCGTTATTTTAGATTATTTTTGCTTTGAAGCATAGGGTGAATGGGCTTATATCAAGGCTCTGCGGTTAAGTGCAACTACAGTTAGACCAGTTCAGCAAGGCAAAAGGGGAGGTGGGATTAGCACAAGAAAATTATACAGATGTGCACATGACAGCTTCTGGATGTTTGGTGTGAAATCTCTCTTTAAGGTCCATGCAGATCCTCAAGGGATGGAGCATTTTGAAATGATTAGCTCTTCACATAGTAAAGCCTTCTTCCTTGCAGTCATAGCAACAACAGAGAAGCTCTGCTCTCCTCCCATCCATTGCACCTTGGCAACAAGAGAGCTGCGCGTTTCTCATCTATCTCTGGTTGGCTCTTCAGCCATTCAATACACGTTCTGAATTAAACTAACTTTTAAAATTGAAAGGACACATTTTAACGGATGAGAAATGCGATCTACAAAGTGAGAAATCACTTAGTAGTCTGGCTTAGTTGGTCTTTCCCTTCAAGTCTTAGGATGCAGTAAGAGAGGTGCATTTTGCAAGGTTTGGTGTTACCCTTTTTGGGGAAAAGGAAAACAAAATCAACCCAATTGATACTTAAAAGTGGAACAAGATAAAAGCTGCATGTTTTCTAGAACTTATAAGTTTTTGTTGATGGTGGTTTGTTTTTTTTTTTTATTTTATAGTCTGTCTTCAGTATTTTCCTAGTATCCATGATTTCACAATCAGCTTCTTGTCCCTATTATGTTTGCATATTCATTCTTAGGTACAGTCTTTTGTAAATTCTGATATTTGTCCAGGCCTAGTAACCTGTACAGTGCTGGTATTTCTGTGTCATGGTACCTACTAAGTATTCTAGCTAAATGGAGGCTTAAACATAAGTAGAAAACCATTGGGTTGTTTGGGTTGTTTCCCCTTCAAATATATATGTCTATGAGCCAAGCAAAGTATTTGGGTCATCTTCTGGGGTAAGTACTCTTCTGGATTCCTATCTCAGAGGATGTATTGAAAGTTTATCACTTGTTTCGGATGTTAATTTTTTACAGTTGAAAGATAATTATCTGTCATACTGGCATCTACAAAATAAGTGGGGAGCAAAGTGGGGGCAGGAGACTCATGTTAGTGTAAATGAGAGATGCCTGTCTTACCGTTTGTCACTTGAGGAGAGTAGAAGTGTCTCTAAGGTGAAGGACATCATACAGAGACACCATGGTGTTCATTTGTACATAAAGGAGAATTTCTCACGGCTGTCCTTAAAGACCACACTCCTTAGGGAGACAAATTTTCCATGATTTTTACATTTGACTTGGAAGCATCACTGCATCCTTCTGAGAAACCATTGCAATAGATTTAAAATATAACCTTTCTGTTGCTGGCTTTCAAAAGAACAGGATTACAAAATGAAGTGTCACTTTTACCTTGACTTGAATGTATGTCAAAGTCATTGCTGACAGATTAAAATAATTGAAATCATTTCCTGCTTAATGCAAAGAATAAAGAGAGAGAAGTTAACTGTTGCTGCTGCTGTCAGTTTGAGACTCAAACAGCCAGAGGTAGAAAGAGAACCTGGAGTCCGTGCTGGATAATGAGCCAGCGAGAACTCAGCTTTGCTTGCTGCCCTCGCTGCATCTCCAGGTGCCTAGACCATCGCTTCATCCCTCGGGAACAGCGTGATGCAGTGGTGGTGAGGACGTTGCTGAAGAAGCAGAATGATTTGCGTTCCAAGGCGGCTTTTCCGACATCTTCCACCAGATCTCACACTCAAATAACAAAGGCATTTTTGTTTATATGTATTTGTCATCAGTCTTTGTAGTTGGAACAAAGATTTCAAAGACGGGCTGTGTTTGTACAGCCAATACAGAACATAACTTCGTTCCTGAGGAGCTGCACCTTCCCCTCCAACCTCGAGCCGTTTTCTCTTGCTTTGGACAGGATGCTGCCTAAAAAAAGTCTCTGAAATGTGCTTGGCAGTGTGAGATTTGGCAAGAACATTAACTGCTCTGATTTAAATCAGATAGTTGAGCCAGGTGCTCTGGATCAACTATGTGACTGAAGCTGGGATTTATTACTGATTGAATGCAAACCTTTTTATTTGTGCATCTATTAAAAAGCACCATAAAATGGTAATGTTGCTAAGGAACTGTTTACCTGCCAAATGTATCTGCGTGATGCATGAAGTGACCATGGGAACCAATTTGGTGGTAATTATTTAAAGAAAACCTTGCAATAAAATGGTAATTGCATGTATATTACATTACATTTCAGCAGTTGCATATGAAAAGCTTGTTTCTGGGAAAGGATATAACAACTAGAAATCCATTTTGAGAGAGGGGTCAGGATAGGTCCTGCATGAAAAATACATTACTGGAGCCAGTTTTTTTTGATGTATATTTTCCAAATCATGTTTTTAAAAGCAATAGGAAATCTGTATATGGTTATCAGTGTTGTGCAAGTTTAAAACAGCTTGGTATGTGTTTCTGAGGGACTCAGTCTCTTGCCTGATTTCATTTTTCTTAAAAAATTAATTACAGGTTGCTGAATTCCCCCCAGAGAACTTATTAACTGTGTCTCTGTCTCCAAAGAGTGTTTGGTTCTCATGAGATAAAGTGCCTTAGGCAAAAAGCTGCCAATTCCATTTCTGATTCATAAAGAAGTTTTTTAAACTTACTTTTATCCTTACTGACATTTTTTGAGTGATAATTAATAGCACTACATTAGGATTAAGACTTATGATATTGTCTTATAAAGGAAACATACTCTGCACAAATGATTCTTCAGAGGTTGAATTTTACTTGAAATGTTACATACAAAGATAATTTTCAAGCATATATATACATTCAAAGAAAAGTTTTCAAATACTTTATAAACATTGAAACCATTGGAAAAACCTCCTATTGCTTGAAGCAATTTTCATGGGATATGTTTACTTACAAGTTACCCTAAGGATGTTACAAAAATACATTCTTAATTATCATTCTACCAAAAACCATTACCATTTTCACCCAGTAATAAATTACATAGGAAATCTGAGATTAGTGTAAGACTGCATTAGAACTAGTTTATTTTTCTGGTTATGGTAGCTGAAAACTTTTTTCTGTAGCTCTGTGAAATGATTAAAAGGGAATCATAAGGAATTACTTCAAATGCTGCAATGATACGTAGCGTTTGGATAATCATGGGACGTTTCAGTGTAAATAGTGTGTTTCTGATGAGGAAATTAGCAGAAATTTGAAGTTTGGGATTATTGAGGGTGAATACTTGAACGGATCTGCTTTTAAAAGGATAGAGATTCTTTCATCCTTAAATGATTGTAATCAGACTTATTTTTTAAAATAGATTCATGGGCTTTATTTTTGCGCTCTTGAGCCACTTCAAGTTGAATGGCTCGGTCCCACTGTGTCTAGTGGTACAGACCAAGCATGAAGTCATGTCAGTGTGAAATGAATCAGGATCTTTGAGAAGGAGGCTCCAAGTCTTGCGTATGTTAATTGACAGACCCTGCGACTCATGCTGGGGCTTTACTTGCCGGCACATACCACAATAAGGACATTGTTAAGGCTTGTATCAACTTGGATTAATTAGATGAATTCATTTGCAAGATTGAATCATATTTATGCATATAATCTGCAGTGGGGCTAGAAAAGATACCCAAATATAGAAACCGTGTTGTTTCTGTGCATGTATTTTGTACTTGCATTTGTACATCTAAAGATATTTTAGTATTGCAGAGAAGAGAATCTGTACAGGATAATTAGGATAGAAAGTAAAGGTTTTGAGAGCTAATGCTTGAATGCTATGTCACATTCCAAATAAACAGCTTTAGACTGTAAAAGCAAGTGGGAAATGGGCAGTATATTGGGCCCCCTTTTTTTTTTTTTTTTTAGATTTTTGAAAACAATTTGTCTTCCCACCCTCTCCACCCTCCCACCCCAACTGAACCAACTTTCAAAATGGTGACTTATGGGGTCTGTCCCATTTTTATTTCCAAGTGTTGAAGAGGACCAAATGCTTCTCTCCCACTTCAATGGCTTCAACATCTTCACTTTGGAATAGCTGAGCAAAGAAGTTAGGTTCTTTCATACTCAGGGAAATAACTTTTTTCCTGTGGTAGAAGTCATTTTTTAGAACAGGATTAAGATGCACTGCTCAGACTAAGTTACTTGGAAGTTGCTGAGCTTTCCTGCTTTCACAATCGTTACATCTGCTGGGAGTTGTTGTGAAAATCACATTGTCTGAAAGAGTTCAGCACTTCTTTGCACAAACTGGGAGGTCTAGGTTTGATTTATTTTACACAGTGTATGTCTCTCCAGTATACTTTAAAATAGCATGTGTTATGTTTTTTCTGTAGATAAAGACTTATTCCTCTTCAGAGGTCATGTGTGATTGTTTCTATGTAAGATGCACATGTGAGAAGTGATTCTTGTAAATGATGTAATGATCAATATGGTTGACTAAAGGTATTGCTTAAAGTAAAACTTCTTTTTGTCTTTCAGACACCCCGAACATGTGAAAACTTTATCAAACTGTGCAAGAAAAACTATTATGATGGAACAGTTTTTCACAGATCAATTCGTAATTTTGTGGTACGTATTGAACAAATCGTGTATAATGCACAATAAGTGACGTCCTCAAAACATTTATACAGCTTAATTAAGTGTCGGTTGCTTCCATGCATGATAATTTGCAATAGATGTATATTAAAAATATAGCTTCAGAATCAGGATTGTCCTTACTTTGTACTTTATGGGTCTTACTAAAAACTGTCTCTGACTAATATTGTCACTTGGAGCATCACTGCATTTAGCAGTACTTTCACCAGCATTCCAGACTAAGTTTTTGGGAGTCATTGCCTTGGCAGGACTCTTGTTATCCTCCCCAAGCTGTGGGTAGGTGGCTAATGAACAGAGGGGAGAGAGAGAGGAATGCTAATTTGGATAAGTTATATTGTGGCCAGTTAAAATCCCGTTCAGCTGAAATTTGGTTTTAGAAAACAGCTGAATTTTTGTTTCAGGTTGTGATACTTCGATACTATCAGATCATCCTGTCCTGAAAGTGATCCATGACTAAGTGCCCAGGCTTTGTTTGTGAAGGGGTTAAAGAACTAGAAAGTTGACTTTGGTAGTCACAGACCTAAGCTTTCAATGTGTAGCTGTGATCCTTACACAGCTTTAACCCACTGGTTTATGTACAGTACGGAGCACAGCTGGCAGAAGAAGCAGAAGATGTTCTCATATGAGCGAAGACCATCCTACAGCAGTGAACAGTTTGGATTCAGAATTGCTGGTCGTTTTTAAGCATCTGTTCAGCTTTGCGTGTGAGGGGAGTTATACCACGAGCACCATGCACAACTGGCTGAATTTGGACTGGAGTGCTCAGTGTTTTATACGCTTAAGTCATTAGCCTTTGTTTAATCAGATTTTGGAGCACACATCAGCTTTTATAAAGATAGCAAGCTTTAATCCTTCAGCAACAGTTTAGAGCCTTTCTAGGGGCATTTACTAACTCATTCTGATAGTCGGAAGAAACATATTTTGTACCAGGAGGTTTAATTCTTGGAACTGAAATTTAGATTTGGTTACTGAGCATGCCTAGCAAATGGCTTTTCTAATACGTTTTTACCTTTGTACGAACAGTTGTCAGATGTCATTAGGACATGGGGCATTCTTGACGCGTCTTATTGCAGTCTATTAGAAGGCCTGGAAAGATAACCTTTATTTACATAGGTACTGTTCAGGCAGCTTGGGATATTGTAGCTGCTCTGTAACTCCTTTTTAAAGGAATTAACAACTTGATCCTGGAGGCAGCGCGTGTCTTTCAGGGAACGTCATTGAATGTTACATTCCATTCTGTCATCCTAAAAAAGGCTTTCTTCTTTTGACAGCACTGTATATCTGAGTTCATAGTTAAACTCACGATTAAAGTAGTGCTTGTGTGCTATTACTGTGAAGCTAGTCCTGTTATGCTCCTTCTAATGGAATTAGAATATAGACTATTGTTTCTGTAGGTCCTGCGTACATACACAGTGATTAATTTTGTTACTAAAGGGTCAGTTTCACAGGGGAATTTTTCCCACTGCAGATAATGAGGATAATATTGAGAAATATAGACTCAAATATAGAAAATGTTCCATATCCCATTTCCTGCCTTCCCATCATCTGGAGGACTGGTGGCAAAATGTAAACCCTTTTCAGGACTCAAAACTAATGCATCATCAAGCAAGTTAGGACCCAGCAGGCAATAGTAAGGATCATCTGGTTAACCAATTTGAGACTGTTTGTATTCCATGTTTACCCAGAAGAGACCTATTATTTTCATGAAATTGTCATTCTGCTCTGGGATAAGTCATGTAGGAGATGACAGCCAATTGATAAAGGAAGGTCCAAATGAGTAGTAATGGTTTCCTTGTTGCTCACTTGTCAATGTGACACAGTACAGAAGGAAGAAAATTGAGCAGAATTGGTTTTTATGGCTTGTGTTTAATACCTTTCACACAGATATATATGTAACTTACTGATTTTTATTTTAATTCTGTAGATCCAAGGAGGTGATCCAACTGGAACAGGAACAGGTAAGATTGTATTTAAATTAAGCAAACTGTTTTTGCTTCATGCACTTTTTTCCTTTTCTTTCCAGCCACCTTGTAGAATAAAATTCTCTGATGTCCTGTGGTACTTACTGAGTATTTCTGCTTTAAAGCAGGGGTTCAGTTTTATAGCTATAGTTTTATGGCACTTTGAATAATGCTTAAAATTCCATCCTGTATGTTCTCGGTCTAAAACTTGGGCAGTCTTCCATGTAGAATTCTTGCTGGAGCTTTGCTTTCTTTTTCTTCCAGAAAGTAAATAAAAATTATAATGACTTTACAGCCAGCCTTTTCCAGAGTGAAGAACAAAGGAAGGAACACTGGCATGCAAAGCCGATTGTGAGCATTGAATATGAAAATTAGAGACCTGCCTCTAAATTAGTGAATGGCCAGATACCATCTCTTCTCCCAACTAGTTGCCTTGTAAGGCCTAAGCTTCTCTTTTTCTAACTTAGGGATCACTCTCACTAATTTCTTCTGCTTGTTCTGTCTTAGGGATCTGCATTACAGCCATATTAGAAACGGCTGAGAGACATAACAGCTACTCCTTGCTGTGCACTGCAGGGTGCTCAGGGCATTGCCCGCCCATGTGCCAGCCATCCTGTGATGTTCTGTGTTTTTGTTCTAGTTCATCATGCATCACTTGAAGCAAAAGCCCTTTATTCTTGTGTGTGTGCTTGCAGGTCATCCAAAATAGATGCCTTTGTAATTGTTAAATGCTTAAGCATTCTTTACTTTTTAAATAATGTTAGTGTGAGCTGCCCAATATCTTTTCTTCTGCTGCATATCCGAGTGTATGCAGCCGCTGAAGCGTGCAACTGTTGAGTGAGACTAGTTAAAATTTCTAAATTTCAGAATTTAGAAACGGGCAGAAGCCCGTTGACAAAAATGTTACCGTACCTACTTGGACTGTCAAAAGAAACGTGATTTGATTTTTTTTTGTTTTGTTTTGTTCTGTTTTGTTAGAAGGAAAGTACTGATTCAAATCCCAGAAGACATAATTAGGAACATCTTTTAAAATGAGAAATTAAAGAAGTGTCAGGAGACTAGAGATACTTAATGGGTTGACTCAGACACCTTTCACCCTCATAGGCTGGAGTTCAGACCTTGCTAGAGAATGAAAATGAACTCGCTGGTGTCATTGTCTCTGTGCAAACGGTAAAACTATCATAAGGCAGCACAATTAACAGTTGGCAGAGGAGAGACTTGTAGCTGACTGGCAGTGCAGCTGCGTTGAAGGTCAAGACCTGGCTCTGGTGCCAAAACAAGTAGGAAGTAAAATGCAAATAAGTGCATAGGAGAAAAAAGTATTTATGCATACTCTGTTGTTTTTTGGAAAAAGGAGTCTTAATGATGTCTAGGTTTTTTCCATCTCGTTTTCCTCTTTGTCATCTTAGCTGAATGTTCATATACTGCAGACCAGGTGTCTTGCAAACATCTGTAAAGGCTATTAAAGGTCTAATAAACTGGTCAGTTTACACTCAAATAGGTATGATAGTGTTGCAGATTTTTAAAGACTGTGGTTATGGCAGAGTCCAGGTGATACAGCTATCATCTTTGCAACTGAATGGGTTTGGGTTTTGGAACAGGGCTGATTTTTAAATCACAATAGTAAGTAAAATGTTGTAACTGCACAGCCTGGTGAGCTGCTAGATTTCTCTTGAACTCTCTGAAGCAGCTTAGACAGTTGGCAGAATGCAAACAGGCTGTCAGGTTTTGTTCTCGATAACCTGATAAACCTTGCACACTTGAATGTGAGGCCAGCCTTAGCTTCACAAAGTAATGTATTTGTCTGCCTAATTTATCCAGGATTTTGTGCTCTTATCTAATTATATTGTCTTCAATCGTGTGGTGTGATTTTTACAAAGCATCTCTAATCAACAGTTAGTGATCAGATAACTACAACTCTTTAAACCCTTTCCAGACAGTAAAGTGCAAGTGTAGCCTTTCAAAATATAGTTTTTGAAACTTTCTGATTGACTTTGTTGAATGTTTTATCCTTATGCTCGAAAGGAGCGTTGGGATAGAGACTCAAAAACATTTCTACCTCCCCTTTCACAAGAAATGGAAAAATCGGCGGATGGGATCTTGATCTAGGATTCCTGTGGTGACAGTATTGTTGAGGACATTTGGAAGATAGATGCAATTTTTAATATTAGAGGAGCATGTTGGAGGGAGGGAAGGACTGAAGATTGGTAGCGTCATGAATGGAAGAATTGGAAATGCTTCTGAAGTCATTTCTCAGCATTCCAGAGGAAGTTCTTCTCGTATTATAGAGGGAGACTAAATATGCAATTTCTATAATTGCTTTGTCCTGGATACGTAGGAAGGAAAACAGATTTTAACAGGAGACAGTAAGTGACAGGCTGTTGTCTGATAACTCTATGAACATTGGAAGATTGCAAGCTCAGAAAAGAATGATTTAATTTTAGCCATAAAGACAACTAAAATGTTTTCTCTGTCTTGTCCTTCAATTTGAGATGTCAGGCACGTAGCAGTTTTAAATCATTAAAACAAGTTTGCTACTAAATGGGATACTTATTTTTAACTATGGCTGACAGAAGGAAGGGGAGAGTGATTGCTGTCCCCTTACAAACTCTCTGTTCCCCTCTACAAATTAATGAATTGGTTAGGATTGGGTGATTTAAACACTGTGAATATTTAAGTCCGTTTATATTCAAGCTTCTCTACAGCACAAGGAAGGACTTGGTCATCATGGATTTAGCAGTGGAACCAGTAGTTGGTTGCAAGTGGCATTCAAGAGCGTTCTGGAGTTGTCTTGCCAATTCTGAATAAACAAACTGAAATATTTCCGGTATTTCCAGCTTATGTACGTGCGTTGTGGAACTTCAGAGTCCCCCAGTGATTTGAATGGATCCTTAAGTAGGGTTATAAACGGTTCTAAAAAAAGTCAGAGAGGTTTCTAAAAGTGAGTTGTCAAAATATCTCTTAGTACTAAGTCGAAGATGCAGATCTCATTTAGGTATATGGGTAGGTTGTAGAGTACTTTCCTTCAGATGGGAGTTTCAGGTGAAGTTTGTGTAAAGGAAGAGTTCATCCTAAAAATATGATTTTGTTAGTTTTGAGTAAAAATGTGTACAACTGATTTTTATAATATATGGCCTCACTTAGAATGGGAGCAGCCAAATGTGAATAACCAGATTTCCCCATAAGTATTAAAACGTTCTCTACTCTGTAGCTCTTCTCAGAGTTCTGTAAAAGGCAGAAATTTTACTTACGTATCCCCCAGCCACGGGCTATAAAAATGGTGGCGAGACCAAAGGCCTCTGCAGCTCGCCACTCTCTTTGCAGCGGTGTGACCTGAGAAAAATACCACCAGGCAGCAGCATAAGGACATGGCAAACCGAGGGATGTTCCCCCAGCCTTCAGGGATGTAAAACTTTATGTCCATTTGCAGGGAATGGCTGAAAACAGTTTGTGTATTATTAATGTGGTCACCAGAATTAGTGTGAGCTTTGGAATAAAGCACTCGATTTCAGTACTTTATACCTCTTCTATAAAGGTCTTGCGTGTTATTTGCAGTATAAATTCCCTTTGGGATTTCTTCTGGTAGCTGGAAGGAGCTTTAGTATGTCTTTGACTCACTGTTTCCAAGAAGAAAACAGATGCATCTTCTAAAGTGAAAAAGACCAGAGAGATTTAATGGTCTTCAGAGGCTTATTTTGGGAGTAAATAATTTGACTTCTGTAATATCTGAGAAGTATATGAGTAGGATAGGGCTTTTTCCTCCCTTTTCTTCCCAGATATTTCAGCTGGTAGTAGGAAATATTAGTTGGAGATTACCCTTTAAATTTGTGTATTTTAAACTGCTAGAAACGTTTCTGTTAGAGCCTTTTATAGAAAAACTTCAGACAAAAAAGAACCTCCTTTATTTCCTTCTCCACAAAGGACCTTCTGCTGTAACTGAAGCTTACTGGCTTAGAAGTTTGGAGGGGTTTTAAACACCTCCAACCTCAAATGTGGAGGCGGTGCATTAATCTGTATATATTTTTATTTTGTTGTATCTATTTACTTATCCCTGTTCATCAACTCAGGAGCCAGAATAGACTTGTTCAGAAATCTTCCCACCATTTGGTTTGTGTCATCTGACATTCATCCCCTGCTCAGCAACAGGTGGCAGGTTTATGGTTGCAACACCCAAATGCTTTGATGATCACCCACTCCATTACCAGCTAAGTCCAGGGCTGCTCAGCTTCTGGGTGGGTTTGGGCACGTTCGGTGCAACATGACAGAAGGTTACATGTCATACATATATAGATCGCAACTGTGCGCTCAGCTTACATGGATAAATGTGCTTTTGTTCTGGACTCGTTTCACGAATGTAAAATGCCAAGCTGCTTGTGCAGTTGTGTCCCCGTTGAATCTCTTGTCGTTAGTGGACCTGTGGCCTAGTAATGCATGTGAACGGCTAGTGACCGCTGGTGCTCAAGAGTTGACCTTGGGAGGGGAGGAGGGTAGAAATTAGCATTATGGCATCCTGAAATTGAGATACCGCACTAGGAAAAGAGTGAGGAGTAGAGTTTCCAGTAGCTTGGCATACCTGGCAGACCTGCCTTGCCAGAGCACTTAGGTATACAGTCCCGGGCTGATGCATATTTAGAAGGCCGAACTAATTTTCTAAAGCCTTGAACTTAATATTTCAGAAGAACATTGGGAGAGATTTTGTTGTGCTGCAGCAGCCTATTTCTTTTCTTTAACAAAATAACCACCCATAGAGGCAGTATTCCGAACAATCAGCTGAGTCATGGTCATTCTTTGTAATGATTAATTATTTGAAAATGAATTTTACATTTATGATGTATTTCTTTTCCTGCTGTTCATAACAACTAAGTGGTTGAACATTGTGAGTAATTCTGTCTAGCTCATGCTAGTGCAGAGGGAGCAGCTGTTCTGTATTCTCGGTGTTCCAAACAATAGGAGAAAATTTGCATGGAGGAAAAATAGGTTTAATATCATAAACCCTT